GCTCACTTAATCCTCACAACAACCCTAATAAAAGGAAATATCTTCCCACTTGACAATTGAGGAAACGAAGACACAGGGAGGTGACGGAGGGGGCGCCCAGGACATCTCTCCTTGAAACGCCGACTGAAAGTGAAAGAAGTCAGACTCAGACGCCACATGTTGTTGGATCCCATTGATTATGGAACGTCCAGATTAGGCAAATCTGTAGAGACAGAAAGGAGATTGGTGGCTGCCAGGGGCTGGGGGGGAGGGGAAATGGGTGTGATGCTCAGTAGGTGTGGGGTCCCCCTGCACGTTCGGAGTTAGGTAGAGGTGACGGCTGCACAGCATCGTGAATGTACTGACCGCCACTGAAGCGGATACCTTGAAGCGGTGAGTCTGATGCTACGTGGATCAAGGGTAGGGTGGGAACACGCTGGACTGGACCCTGACGTGCCCGGCCCTAAGCCGTGGGGTCTCCACGGCGCCCAGGGAGGAAGGCGTTGTTCCCGTTTCACAGACGGAGGCTGCAAGGCTCGTGAATTTAAAGCCACTTTCCTGAGCAGTGAGGTGGGCGGCCTGGCACCAAGCCCAGGCCCCTCCTCCCAGTCATGAAGCTCCAACACATGGACCAGACTGGAGGGCGAGGGTCCCTCCCTTCTCGGCTGGTGTTTATTCCACCTGTAGATTTCAGAAGCCCTGGCGTGGCCACTTTGCTTACCAGAAATCATTGGCAAGGTCGAAAAATCTTTTGAAAGGTGGGCCCAGGGGTGTAGGTGCGGGGGGAGTGGAACGTTGCTTAGGCTGTAACGAGACAGGAGAGGTGCAGTCCTGGGTGGACACCCTCGTCCCAGCTCCCTGCGCCGAGGTCGTGGGAAATCTCTGTGAGAGCTTCCGGGGGTGGCCTTGCTGGGAGGATTTTTCTTTGCTTCCCCCCAACGCCAAGTTCCCCTGGTGATTCAGATGCAGGGGGCATTTGTGAACTTCAGGCAGAAACCCCCAGCGAGGTCCTGTTACTCATCTATGTTCATATGACACATCCTTAGGGACAGCTGCAAGGTTCGTCTTCAAATGCCATCAGGGAGATGGGGGAGTTCTCTGCCTTTTCTCCCCACCAAGTAGACCTGGAAGAGGGTGCAAGCCGGGTCCAGCGCAAGGTGGGTGCCACCTTCTGCCCAGCCAGCTGCCCTTAGCCTGGGCTTCTCCACTGACTGTATTCCTCTGCCCAGGAAAATCATTATCAGACTGGCAGCGACAGCAGCAGCTGTTCTCTGGCCCAAGAAGAAAGGTTCTAGAGAAGAGTTAGTTTTCCCTTTTCTTACAAAAAAAAAAAAAAAAATCAGAGGACAGGACACAGAGGTCTGAGTGCGCGAGGAGGATGGTTGGGCCGCGTCCTGCCTGCCAGCATCTGAGTCCTGGGAAACCCTAGGAGAGCCATGAGCGGCTTCCTCTGGGTTTGCTCGGCCAGGACATCATTTGTTGATCCTAGAGTCCAATCCCCAGCTCACGATTTCCTCCCTGGTTGCTATGGCCCCGCACAGAAAACACAGCAAACTCCTGGCCCTGGGCAGCTCATTTATTTCAAATATTCCTTGCAGCTGGAATCCAACCATGTTTGGGTGTCTGGACTGGAGCATGAACTAATTGCTCTGTCTTCGGCCCCCTCCCCAGCTCCCCCGGCATAGTTTATGGTTCAGTAAAGTCCACATTCCTCATCCCGCCGAGGAACAGGAGAAGGCGGGAGGGAAGCTGTGTGCAGAAGGGTGGGACGGGAGGGCTCTTCCCATCTATGGCCAAGCCCTGAGAGTCTGCTACCTGCTCAAAGGCAGGGGATTAATTACAACCACATGGGCCAAGTCTGCACAGATGGTTTTATTAATACCGCTCCCTTCAGCACAAAACCCTGCTCCCCCAGAAGTCTCCTGGCAGCACAAAGGCCCTGATTTTCCCCATGTCCCCCCAACCCCAGGCCTGACCCCACTACTCCCCTGCCGCCCCCTTCAAAAGAAGCCAGAGTTGCAACTGCAACCCAGACATGAACTCCAACCTAAAAATAACTTCAGACCACCCTTTTCCTCCCACCGTGTCTGGGAAAAGTACCCAGGGGACCCTCTCCTCAATGCCCACTTTGACCTCTGGAGTCTTTACCTGGGAAGAAGAAACCTTTATCAAGAGGTTGGCTTGGAAATGTTCTGTCCTTCCTCAAAGACAAAGTCCCAGTCCAGGAACTGCCATTTTCCGGAAGCGCACGGGCTCCTAGAGGATTTGTTTGCACACTTGCTACGAGGCCAGGCCCTGTTCTGAGAGCCTCATCTCACCTTGCTGCTCTCTTGTGAGAGAGGCGCTATGATGACTGGCCTGTCCTTGTGTCCGAGGCCACAAAGCCAGTATGTGAACCCAGGTCTGACTCAGGAGTCCAACCCACTGACACATGGAAATGATTTCCCTTTACCCAGCAACTTTGCAACATTAAGAGCTGACACAGTCACAAACAGTGGTGTTCAAGCTCCCTTAGGCAAGGTCACCTGGGGAGTGTGGGAAAACGAAGATTCCTGGGCGCCCCAGAAATGTTGATTTGGTCCAACTGAGGCAGGACCCTGGAATCTGCATTTTATTAGTAGCAAACCCCTCCCAGGTGCTGCTCATAGAGGTGGTCTGAGGACAGCTGGCTGGGAGGCTCTTAGAGAAGGGGACATGGGACTTTGGGCCCAGGGCTCTTGGGCCCTCAGCCCAGACACTTTTCACGGCACCGTCAGATCCTGCTGTGCCTTTAGAATGGAACATCCCTACCGCAAGCTGAATGCACTCTTGACAATTCTTCGGAAACTTGTCGTGATATGGGATCTCATTTCGTAAATTTCTTAACTGTTCAATCTTATCACTCACCGATCCTCTAAATAAGCCAGAATTTCCGTCCTTTCTGCTGGAGTCCTCCCACGGTGGCTGGCAGGATGGGTTCACTCATCCAAGACCCATCAAGCCTCGCTGTGCGCTTGGCGCCTGGGATGCAAGGATCTGCACTCCCCCCGCCCTCCCAGTGCCCAGAGCCTGGACTCTGAGGACGCCCACAGGGGCTCATGGTCTGCTCCTAAAAAGCCCCCGTGGGAACAGCACACAGGAACCAGAGGCATCCGTTAATGTCAGAGTCACTTTCTGTTCGGCTCAGCAGGGTCTCTTAGTTTGGGCTGTCAGGCTTGCCAACTTCTGACAGGGATGAGGGTGTTAGGGGCACAGGCAGTCAGCTGTCATCTGCTGAAAACTGAGCTGAGCTGAAGGGACCCAGGAGGGGTCAGCTGTGCCTCTTTCCCCTCACCCAAGGCACAAAGGAGGGACTCAAAAGTGGTTTTATGTTTTAAAAACTTTCCTTTATTTATTAGGTTACTATTATCAACCATCATAAAATAGACCGGGAGTTTCAAAACTGTACAAGCCAAAGGCTCTGGGCTGGTAGGGAAGAAAGGTGAGGGTCTCGGGCCCGGGAGACGTGGCGGAGCTCGCGATTCCTACGGCGTCCCTGGGGCCGGCTGGGTCAGGGCCACAGCTGGGATCCGCACACGTGAAACTAAACTCCCTTGAGTGCGACATTCATCACAGCGCAACCCGCCCTGAAGCAGGGGCGAGGAACATCTTTAAAAGTCTTACAGATAAGGTCCTGTGTCCCAAAAAGGAAAAAAAAAAACACAAACCCTCAGAATAATAAGAAGGCCATTTACATTCCTCACCCAGCCTTGGCACCAATTTTGTGCTTTAAAAAATATACTCCACTGGAAGAGTTTTTTTTTTTTTTTTTTTTACGGTACCCTATAGCAGCTGTTTAAAACATAATTTTTACGGACATATATATATATATGTATATATTAAACATTTTAAACAAATAAAGTCATCTATTGTACCTGTGCAGAAATGAACCAGAGCCAGACTCAGGGAGAGTTGACTTCAAGATCAAAGAAATGGCGAAGGTTGTGGCAGGGGCTGAGGGATGCTACGTGGGGAAGGTGCTGGGGACAGGGTGTCCCCCTCCTGCTGGCAGCCGTGCAGCCCTTATCGAGGCTCTGAGGGGGTCGTGAAGACCCGGGGCTGCTCCCCCAGCCCGGGGCCCTGGCAGGGTGCTAAGCAGAGACCCACGCTGGCTTCTGTGAGGCTCGACTGTCTGTTCCTGATCTCCCCTGTCCCGCCCTGCCAATGGCTTCCTGGGGAACGGAGACCCACTCCTTCTCCCTTTTTAGTTCTGGGGGTCTTCTGGCACACCCAGAGTTTCTGAGGATGCACTTGGGAAATCTCAGCTAGAAAAGCAAAAACAAAATCAAACCCACACCAAAAACCCCATAGAAGACTAAAGAAACGCGACCATGTGCAAAGACGTATGAGCCCGGAGGTAAGTGGCCACCTGGAGACATGGGGGAACTGCCACCACCCTTTCAGGGGGCTCCCCAAGACACCATATTGCACGTGAGGCCAATTCTCCCCCAGGGACCCACTCGGGAACTTAGAGCAGAGCCCCCTGGAAACTGTAGGTCAAGGGACCCAAACAAAGACCCACCTTGTGCCCATGCCCACGTGCACACATGCCACAGGCAGGGCCCAGGGAGGACGACAGGTGAGGCACACACATTCCAGGGAGGGTGCAGGTGGGAGGGAAGCAACGGAACACGCCAGAGAGAAGTGACCGAAACAAAATTTCCTTTCTAAATGGAATAAATAAATGGCTTTTGTTATTGTTAAAAGAATAAATACAGGGTACGGGGCACCGGCAGCTGGGATGGACGCTGGGTGCTTTTGCCTGCGGAGGGTTCGATCTTGGTTTCTGCCTTGGTGTCCGTGGTGAGTGTTTGATGTCCTGAGCTTCATCTGCCACGGCATGGCCCCGCTGGGCTCGGCACCTGTGGCCTGGTGCCAGCCCGTGTCTAAGCACCTCTTAGCACTCCTGGTCTCTGCTCTCGGAGTGGTGGCACTACTCTGGGACCCCGAGGTGGCTGCAGCACACATCCCCCTCCGAGAGCAGGTCGGAGCTCAGTGTGGCCCTTTAGCAGGAGTTTATCCTCCGTGTCTCTTGTCAAGGAGGGGCTGTTTACGGCATGCAGGGACACTGCCTTCTGCCAGTGTCGGGAGAGGGAAAGAAGAGCCTGTGTCGCAATAGGTCCTTGTCTGGCGGAGGCAGCCAGGGAGGGTGAAGGGAAGAGCAGGGACTTCTGTCCATGGCTGCGGACGCTGGTCCAAGGCGTGGGGTGCTGCGGCCCCCGCGGCAGGCGGCTCAGTGAGTTGGCACCAGGTGGCTGTCGCGCTGGCAGTCCCGGGGAGTGCGTCACTGGTAGAGGAGGTAGCCCTTGAGGGAGGCAGGCAGCGGCAGCGTGTGGATCTCCCCCAGCCGCTCCTTCCCCAGGGCCAGGCGCACGGAGCGGCGGCAGAGATCCATGAGCGGCAGCGGCTCGGCTGCGGAAACCGAGGAGAGAGAGAACCGCAGGTCAGCACGGCCCAGCTGGCTCCAGAGCAAACAGTACTAACAACAAGGGCAACACTATCATCGATTGATACTCATTCCAATAAATAGAGAGACAATAAAAACCCAATAATTTGATTTTTCATTTTAAATTCCTATGAATAGCTAACACAGAGAGCGTGCTCTGGGCGGGGCCCCCTTGGTGAGCCCTCTGCAAACACTAACTCATTTTATCCGCACTGCGGTTTCTTACGAAGGGTTTAATAATCACACAGACATACCATTACCATCATCCCCATTTTACAGATGAGGAAGCTAGGGACAGAGTCCAGATCACTGCCCAGGGTGTGTGCTGGCAGGAGCAGGAGCGGGAACAGGAGCAGGGGCTGGGATTTGAACCCTGGCCATCCTGCTCTTCCCTGCGGGCCCCTCTGCCCATCTGGACCAGCCGCAGCCTTCAGCGCCTGTGGGTCCAGGAAAGTGGGAGCAGCTCTCTAGCACAGACCGCAGCACCAGACTCCATGCAGGCTTTAGGAAGGGAATCATTCTGTGTCACCAACCACTCTCCGGGACTGTCCTCACTTCTTTTACAGCCAAGAACACGGAGGCACAGAGGGGGTAGCTAATGTGCCAGGGCTAAAGGCTGGGATCCGAATCCGGCAGCCTGGACCCAGCGTCCACGTTCGTGGCTACCAAACATGCTGCCAGTGAGATGTAAGAAACACTGGCCCAGAGTCGCACGTTACAGGCCCGGCTGGCCCCACAGCTTGGCAATGTCATGTCTGCACCACACCAACCTAGAGAAATGCCAGTGCTTCTGTCTGCCGGACAGCGAAGCTGAGGGCCCAGGCTGGGGAAAGTGGAAATGCCAGCCCAGCTGCAGCAGAAACTCCTCCAGCTGCCCCAGGAACCACGGGGCTGTGTCCCAGCCAGGAGGCTCAAGGCAGAGAGGCTTCTAGCTGCAGCCCGCAGGGCACCTCCGTCCTGTGTCCCCAGAGGGCCCGGCCCTGCCTTCCCACAAAGGAGGCTCTGTTCATTCAGCCTGTGTCTCAGATGAACTCTGGGCTCCAGATTTCAGGACTCTGAAAAATCACCCTGGGGGCTGCCAGGGGCCAGGATGGGTGGAGGAATGGGGGTG